TATAGGTGTGTGCAGCTGGTGGGTGATCACATGCAAATGTGGAGTGATGTCCATGAAAGGTGGGTGTATATATATGTATACACACTGGCGAACTACACAAAAATATATGTAGATAGATAGATCGATAGATAGATAGACAAATAATCTGACCTACAGCCATGCGTCTGTGTGTGTATGTTGGCGTGCATTTCTGCACATGCTGATGTTTGTGGAAGACACATAGACAAAGCTGAAATGCCCAACCGAGACACCAAATGCTTGGTGCTCGTCACTGCGACCGCCAAGTTCTGAAAGCCACCGTGGGACATGATAGCGACGTGCGGATGCGGTGGAGCTCGGTTCTTGCGGATCAGGCCAATGTTGTGGCGCGTCCAGTAGACACTCAAAGTCCAGTGGTTGTAGACCGGAAGCTCCGATCTCTTCAAGGTCGCACCGCGCCGATCCACAGACTTGTAGGCCTCAAGCTGGTCCATCACGATCAACATCTTTTGCTCATCTCCCTGCAGCAAGTCCATCACCTCATCGGCCGTCAGCTCCACAGGTCGGGACACCGGGCGCACGGCATGTGCAGCCCAAGCCTCCGAAGCTCCGGCAGGTGCCTCGTGAGAAGGTGCCTCGTGAGCAGGCGCTTCGGAAGCAGGCGCTTCGGAGGCAGGCGCCCCGGAAGCACGCGCCTCAGCATCGGGATCCAACTCCGGTGCCGGATCGATCTTCTTCGCCTTGCTCTTGGACTTGGCCTTTCCCTTAGGCTTGCTCTTGCCAGCAGCCTTCGCCTTCGCCTTTGGCTTTGGCTTTGCGCCCTCCGTTGAACCTGACGCTTTCGCACGCTTGCCTTTACCGCCACCCTTTCGGCGGCCAGCGCTCTTGTCAAAATCACCTTCATCCTCCTCTGCATCCTCCTCTTGATCATCCTCTGCATCCTCCTCATACTCTTCCTCGGCCTTCGCCTTAGCCTTGGCTTTGCGGCTCTTCGGCATGAGCTGCAACTGAGTGCGCCGAGTCAACACAGGCACCTTCGCAGGCTCCTTCTCACCCTCATCCTTCCCGCCATCCTTGTCCTCCTCATCCTCGTTGTCCAGGTCCGGAAAGGTTGCGATGGGGTAGTCCAGCGTGCTGGGGTAGATGCGGATGCCGGGCCGTCTGTCCGGATCGGTCCTGCGAGCCCGCTTGGTGCTTGCAGTGCCAGCACTGTCTTGGGCGTCCTCCTCCGAAGCCTGGGGTGGCACCACAGGATCAGCCTTCGCCTTCTCCGCAGCCTTTGCCAATCGCTTCCTCTGGGCTTCAGCTGCAAGCACCCGCCTAAGAGAGGCCAGTGGTCTGGCCACTGGCCTTGCTTCTTCCTCAGCAGGCTCAGCCACAGGCTCAGTCTTCACGACCGGCGTGCTCAGATCGACAAGCTGCGGTGATGTGCTCGGTTTGGGCCCGTTGTTTCGCGAAGGCTGGGGTGTTGTGACAACAGCAGCTGTAGTTGCAGAAGGCAACGGAGCTTCACCATCATCATCGAACAGCCGCCTCTTGGTTGGAGGAGCCGCACTCACCGATCGAGGCTCTGGGGGCACAGGCGCCAAGCCCGCTGGGGGCTCTGGGCTTGGAAAGCGGTCCGGCACGAACGTGGAATCATTGTCCATTGCATACGTGGGCACCGAGGTCACGACTTGTCCTGCTGACATTCGCATGCACAAGGACATTCCGTGTTGTATATACGTATGTATATATGTACAGATGTACATATGTATATATGTATATATGTATATAGGTATATATGTATATAGGTATATATGTACCTATGTATACATGTATATAATTATTCATGTACATACATATATATATATATACACACATGTAAATATGTATACATACATATATATATATATGCATATGTGCACAGTGTGTACAATAATCGTCCTCCTTCACGGATCTCGTCGATCTTCCTACGTGACAAGCCGCGCCCCTCCAGGTCTTCAGCGGTCTGCCACTCACTCCTAGGATTGTGTGTCATATCTGACATGCACGCATATGTAAGATCATGCGAAATAGCCCTGCATGTTGTGCGCTAATTTGCTCTTAGCGTCGGCCGCTTCTTGTCTGCAAGGGCTTCCTTGGCACGGTCCATGGCTTCCCTGAGCTCCCGAAGCCGCTCCAACCTTGCCATGGTTCGATCCATGTGCTCAGCATTCTCACAAGCGACGCCAGGGTCGCTAAACCCGCATGGTTCTGGGCACGGAGCAGGCTCTCTCGAGTCTGCTGGCCCAGCTGGCACGCTAGCTTCTGAGCGGACAGCTGCACGGGGCGCTGAGCTGGCAGCTACAACGGCCCCTGATGGCCCTGGCGGCGAACTGTCATCGCCTGCATCTCCATCATCTTCATCATTCTCGTCTGCTGATACCTTCCGACATACCAACATATGCATGCATGCACATGCATCATGTGTATGTGTGTATGAATATATGTATAATGCATAGATAAACATTTATATAGTTGTCTTTATGTACACATATATAGAACATACGATTGGTATACATGTATACACATCTGTAGGTACACGACTATGCACATCCATTGATCGGTCCCAGCTCCACCTCAGGCTCTGAGGACATCGTCTCGCGACGGGTCACTCTGACGGGGGCGGGCATGTCCGGGTCCAGGATGCGCTGCAGGCGGAAGAAGATCGGATCCTAGGATTGATACGGTTGGTGTCGCTATGTAGTGGGGACAAAACATTTATAATTGAACTGCTATTGACCTTGATAGTGCTACATAAAGAAATGCATTCAAGATTCAAGGGAAGGTTGGCCCTTCCTCACCTTCATCTTCACAAAGCTGCAGAAAGTTTTTGCCCAAATGGCATCCATGTGCACATCATCTTTCTTATTCTTCGTGTCCAGGCAAAGCCTTTTGCGCATCTGGAACAGCCTTGCATGGTTTGTCTAAACACGTATCCGTTGCAGAGTAAAACTTAACAGGACCACTCTGATGTTGGGATGCTGGGACGCATAAAACATTTGGAAACACAGCGCTAGTACCAACTGCCAACCAGTAGCTCCTTCTCAGCACGCTCTATGGAGAACAACTCCCAAGAGGGATGCTCAGCCATACATTCGAGAAGGGGTTCGAGTAGCTCGTGATTGTGGGAGACATCTTTGTTGCAGCTTTTCATTTCCTTTTGGGGGTCATGAGGTTTGCAAACACGGCCATCAACACTCACGCGCTTGACCAGCTCCACATGCTTCAGCCACTTCTCAGAGACCCCCGCCACGTCACAACCGCAGTACGGCATTGGATCACACTGAGGGCACGATGCACTAGCTTGGCTATCGATGGCCTTCGAGCCCCGAAATCTGCAATCAGGTTGTATAGGAAGCATGTTAGCTCTCGATCCGTGTTGGTTTCAGCGCGCTCCTGCTAACATTTGCTGCAGCAGAAGCTGAGATCACTGCGTGAATTGGAAAAGAAGGGCCGGCCATCCAGCCAGAAGCAGCATGCACTAATTAAAGATCCACATGTTCTTATCACTGTTTAGGCTACATGCGTACATATACATTTGTCCGAGTAATATAGGTACTTGCGGAGACAACGTTTCCGTCCATACGTCTAGCTATGTATCTAGTGTATGTGTGTAATTGCTTCAATGATAGCGATTCTGTATATCTGGCTACGGAAAGAAACACAGGCGAGTATATTGAATGTACATACACCATCTATGCAACTTCCCAATATGGCTATATACAGACATATCTACAACGTTATAAACATATGCATATATACAGATCGGTAGATATACAGACATACAGATAGGCATGGGGAGACCGTATGTTAATCCTGTATGCAAGTTGCTACGTGATCATACTGGGCCTCGACCGGTCGAGCCCATTTAGCACCATATACATACATACATACATACATATATATATATATATATATATATATATATGTATACACATACATATATATATATGTGTATATAGAACCGGCCTATCAAATTATGTCCAACACAACTCTGGTTTGCATATATATATATATATATACACATCTGAATAATTAATTATCTACTCCTGCGGGAGCTGCGAGCGGACGAAGCAGGCGACAGCAGGCCTGTGTTAGCAGCTTTGGGGATAAGTTGTTGGTTGCAAATACAAATACTGGATGATTATAGGGTGTGTAAGGGTGGTTTGCAGGTAATTAGAGAGTTTGTGGGCTTTTGCGGGTAATTTGGGCTTTTGCGGGTAAGACCCCCTAGAACCAGGTAATTCCCAAATTACCTCCCGTTTAGGGGGGAATCGGAGAGACAGGCAAACCCCGAACGCTGAAACCTGTTGTCTTGCCACCGGCCGAACTTCGTTCTCCATAGATGGCTCAACGGAACCGTGAAACCTGAACCGTCATGTTCTTAGAAGCTGAGTGGGTGCAATTTACACTTTGGGATAATATTAACCACTATACAACTGAGAATGTATACGTTTGGGGGCTTATGAACTCAGCATCTAAGTGCTGGCCTATAAACCCTAAACCTCTTGTCTTCGGGTCAGGGGTTGCCTGTTGACTCCTGTTTCATGCCGACCCACACGGGAGTTTCCGAAAACTAGGGGTACCTCATTTTGGGGTCCTTATAATAAGGATCCTACTATTAAGGGTACTATATTAGGGTCCCCTATTTTCGGAAACCTCCACACCTAAGGGAGCCTCGCCTGGCTTGTCCGAGTTGTGAGAGCGTAAACCCCTAAGCCGTCATGTTGGTAAACCCTATATAAGCCCTAAACCCTTAAACCCTCTACCTGTACTACGACTGACCCGTTGTTGAAGTTTCACATTGTCAGATTCCGAACCATATGCCTCGCCTGGATTGTCCGAGTGTGAGCGCCGAAACCCTCTACCCCCCACAAACTTAGGCTTAAACCCTGCAAAAAAATTTCTAAACCCTAACTATAAGCCCTAAGCCCCCAAACCCTATACCCCCAAAAACTTATACAAACCCTAAACCCCTAAAGCGTTATCTTGGTCAGGTTTCGCAAACAGGTGGAGCAAACGTCTGGCGAAGAGGAGTCGCCAGACGAGAGGACCCACTTTGCATCGGGCCCTGAGCTTCTTTAGGTCCAAGCGGTATGGGGCTCAGGGGTATGAGGGGCTTAGGATTAAAGCTTTAGGGCTTATTATCCATTGTAGTTGCACTTCTAATCTGGAAAAACCACTTTTTTGTCCAGGATCCTATAAGTTTCCAAAACAATGGAGACTGACTATAGTTGGAGTATTGCTCTTACAGTCAGTCAGTATTCCTAGGGGTTCTCTGCAAGGCCATTCGGTAAGTGAGTTCGGCCCCAGGAGTTTGCATTATCTTTGGTTATAAGGGCCAGAATAACTACTCAGTCATCCCATGCCATGGCGTTAGTTGATATAGCTTTACGTCTTTTCTGCAAAAACGCTATTCTCATTTGTCACGTCCTATCTTTAGAGAGTGTGGCTCCCTGGGAATTGTTTAAAGGGGCAAAGAAAGGCCCGAAGTGGTTTTGTTCTCGGATTGCAGGTTAGTTTCCAGGAGGGTGCATGCGCTTTTGGCTTCTGCGATATCTAGGGTTCAGGGTTTACGCATAGGCTCCACAGTAGTTTCTTCTGGGGGCTCATATTTAGAAACCTTTAAGGAAATCCCAAAAGGAACTGCTATGGAGCCTCTGGGTAGGGCAGGCCTTAGCTTCGGGTTTCAATGCTGCCCAGATTTAGTTTGGCAGTGCTGCTTAGGGTTTAGGGTTCAGGGTTAGGGGTCGGCAGAGTCTGGATTTAAAAAAAGAGCTGCGGCCTGATAGTTTGCGGATGGTTTTGGATGAGAGAGAGATCTTCAAGCCAAAGGCGGAAATCCTGCGAGACTATCCGATGCATGAAACACCAAAATCCGAGGCACTGAACCTGCATAGAGGCCCGTACGACAACCACAATATGGCTTGTGAGCGATACAACTCAAGCCTGGCCATAAGAGTCCGAACGCGTCCTCGGGAGGACTCGGCAGCTCTCGCAACAATACTTTGCACCCGAGGCTTTGGTTTCGCTGAAACCTTTCAGAGTACTGCAAGACTTGGGTAGCTGTGGAGAATCTAGGAAATGCTTTGGTTGCTTGAAATGGTCAACAGGTGACTCTGGATGGGGTGCGCAGGGATACGTCGATGTTGTTCATTGTCAACGGTTCAGGTCGTTTGTGACGTTTCAGGGCCACAAGTAAATGCGCAGGTTCTGTTCATATCATAATGATCTCCCAAACCCCTTTCGAGCAATTATAAGGTTCCTGTACGACCGTACACAGCCCGCAACCCTGAACTCAATGCTAATTCCAAAGCTTTGATCCCAAAATGTCCTGGACCCCGAACCCCCCACACTTCAACCAACGGGTCTATGCTTGAATTAAGGCAACATATCTACCCTAAACCTTGAACCCTGAAACCCTGAACCGTATCGGCTACGGAAGTGTAGCTGCTGTACAACTGTGCTTCTCAAGACTCCCTGCAATGCGGGCTTCGTCCTTGCTAGGTAGGATTGCAAAACAACCCTAAACCCTAAACCAATGATACTGGCAGAGAGAGAGAGAGAGAGAAACCAATGATACTTAGACCCTTTTGCAAACCGCAGACTCCCCCAGACGCCAACCCAGGGCTGACCCTGTAGGGGCTTCAATAACTAGAATAGGATTCGGGTGAAGATTATTTTAGAACTATAGTAAGGAACCCCTCCAAGAAAAGCCCTATTCTAATTATTATTCAGGCCCCTAGAGTACATCCTTCGCATGGCACTTATAGTAGCTCTTACATGCCCCTTTATAAAGGAACCCCATGCTACTTATTACGGCCCCTATATCACATCTGTACCCAGCGGCCCCAAAGTAGTTCCTTTTGGGGATTACCCTATAGGATTCTATATACGAACCCCCAAAAGGAACTACTTTCGGGCCTTTGGGTAGACTCTCCACTCGCCCATAGGTCCTTCGGCCCGCTACGATCGGAGCTGCAGCCTGTGCCACGGCATTGATGTGCCAAAGATGCACTCAGTTGAGGGTTTAAGGTTTTGAGGTTTAGGGTGTAGGGACTTGAAGGTTTTAGGGACTTTAGAGGTGTCGCGCGCAGGACTCTGGTTTGAGGCCTTGGGGGGTGTGGTGGGGATTTTAGGCTGAACCCGCGCCCGTTTAGGGTTTGCCTATAGTCTCGATTGTAGTTCCTTTTTGGTGTTACCTTTTGGGATCCTTAATATAGAATTGTTGAAACCAAAAAAGGAACTACAATGGAAACTATAGGTGGGATTCGTTGTTTTGGTGGCCTGGGGTCGCTCAGTTCATTGGGGCGGCGTCACATCCCGGATTCCCTTTCCCATCATTGGTTTATATAGAAGCCTGAATAGCTAGTCATACTATCCCAAAAAATATAGGAAACAATGCATCTCTGATATTTTCCAGCCCTTGCGTTAGCTTTGGGACTGCGTTTGTTTGCAAAAGGTTGGCATTAGGGTACAATTGACTTGGGTCAAAACCCCAAATGAGTAGTTCTCTAGATTGGTGTCCTTGCTATGAGGGTGCCGTACTCTTTTGGGACTCCCCAAAGGACCCTAATTTAGAGAGTTACCCAAGTAGCATCGGCCTGGTGCTCACTAAGCGATCTTGATACGATCGAACCCAACAGGCCGAGGTACCTATGTGATATACACTCTTACAGTATAGGCTGATATCTACTATGTAGTTTTGGGGAGGAGCTCTATTCCGCAATTCAGGGTTCTGGAGAGCCCCTGATCGGCGGATGCTGGCATTGGCTGCACAGTACTGCCGTGAAGGGCTTCCAGGGGTCCAACTTCCGGGCGAAGTCGGAAGCCTGCTGCAACAGGGTCGAGGATTAAAACTAAAGGTTTCAGCTGGGGTTCGGGGTTTTGGGTTTAAAGTTAGGGCACATTAACTCCTCCCCTCAGAGCCTTGCGAGGACCATTCCGCCACATACCGCACGAGTGGTGAGTCAAGTCCTGGCCACCGTTGGCGACGGTGTCCCGCCCAGTTTCTGTAGGGCCATCTGAAACTTCGGCACTAGTGCTTTCTGGCTTCCTACCTTCTGTTGCTTCCAAGGAGGTCATGATGATGATGATGCTGAAGACGACGACGATGATGATGATGATGCTGATGGTGATTTGAATGATGTCGCTGATGATGTTGTTCGTGATTGAAATGATGATGATGATGACGACGCTGAAGGCATTTTATACCACGTTATTTCATAGGGATTTCAGATGCATCTGTGTGGGGGGATCATGGGGTCCCTGAAGGACCCTAGCAAATGAGTTTAGATATGGGGTATCAGGAGGCCAGCAGTGAATCATCTCAGAGCAAGAGCTATAAGCCGTAGCTCCCAAAACAGGTCTCCTCTCTTAACGCGAGGACGTAAGAACGAGAATGAGAACCCTACGTCAGCCAAAACCTGCAGAACCCTGAACCCCACGATAACACCTGAATTCATTATACCTAGAGGCTCATACCCTGCACCCTCACCTTGTTTTAGGTAGTACCTTTGTTTAGTTAGGACCTGTCACAAAGAAAGTAGGTACAACTAAACAGGCTCCGGCCAAGGCCCATTGCAGGTTCCTCAGACAAAGCATCAAGCCCTCGGCTTAGGGTTTAGAGTTTGGGGTTTAGCGTTTGGGGTTTAGGGTTTAGGGTTTGGGGTTTAGGGTTATAGGGTTATAGTGTTTAGGGAAAAGCGTTTTCTGGAGGGATAATTTTGCCTTTTTTTCGGATCCTTGGCAACAGGTCGCAGGGTCGTGTTCTGGCAGCAACACGCCCAGCCACAAGAAGGGCTATGGGTTCAACATTTCTGTCCTTGCGTCGCAGTTTCGTGGGTTTTGATCTAGGGTTTACTGTTGAGTGTATCCGTGGAACTTCGTGAGTCCAACCTTTTTTCAACAATCCCCTGAAGATCACCCACAAGCCGATGCAGAATTCACCCCCCCCCCCCACCCCGCCCCCCACCCCCGCCCCTCCGAGTCAAGGTCTCGACGGTTGTGTCGTGAGGACACCTGGGCCCTTGGGTTCAGACAGTCCTGGTTTACTTGGAGGGTCGGGGGACTTAGTAAGTAGGTAGTAAGTAGACTTATAAGTACCCTAAAAGGGACCTTAATTGGTGTTATGGTACTTATAAGTCTATAAAATAACCAGTTACTAAGTCCCTGCTAAGTCCCCCGACCCTCCAAGTATGGGAAAAGGATTCAGAATGCAGCTTGAGCTTTCCCGCGCCTACCCTAGACTCCTTCATCCCCCCACTCCGAAACCGGTAATTCAAGCCTACATAAAAAACCCGAAACCCTAAGTCCCAAACTAGTCCCAAACTCTCAACACTAACCCCTAAACCCTAAACCCTAAACCCTAAGCCCCTAAACCCTAAACCCCCAGTATCTCAGGCAGGGTGATGATTGCGTCGGGCCTGAACTCCATGGTCAGCTCCCTCGTCGCCTTTGAGAGACGGCTAAACCCTAAACCCTAAATGGGGCTTTCCGAAGACTTAGGGGTTCCTTTAAAGGGTTACTATAAGGGTACTAAAAGAGTTCCGTTAAAAAGCTGGCTCTATAAGGGTTTATTTCCCAGAATTAGGGGGTACCTTTTTGGGGGCCCTGTAATAAGGATCCTACTTCCTAAGGTACTATATTAGGGTCCCCCGATTTTCGGAAACTCCCAAGTCGTAATTGCTTCAGATTCGCGAACTCGTAGGTTTCCAGCCCTGGGTTTTGTTGGGCTCCCGTAGGGTTTTAGAAGGTTTAGGGTTTAGGGTTTAGGCTTTGCAGGGTTTTAGAAGGTTTAGGGTTTAGGCTTTGCAAGGTTTGCATGCAAGGGTTCATGAGGTGTTTAGGGTTTAGGTTACAGCGCATTCGGCGCCTCGGTTCCTGGCATATGTATAGTACAGGTGTAAATAAAGGGTTTTCGGGTTTGGGGTTTGAGGTGTACTGTTTCATGGCTTTCCTGGTTGACGATTCCTGGGTGGTATGATGTAGTTGAAGAAGTGGTATGTTTCTGTCTAGCACTGGTTTTAGCTTTTCGCCCTTGTTTGTGCTACTTCAGGAGAGTCCCAACGGCAAACCCCAGTAGTTCTTATCTCAGCCAAATCCCAAAACCCCATAACAGCCCCTGTGGTGCAGAAGATGCCAAACCGCCTGAGCCCTGAACTCCTAGACCATATCCCAACATGCCCGAATACGAGCGTCGCAAGAACACAGACCCCGAATAATTGAAAAAGGCTGACTGATTAACCACCAAATCACGAACACTTCTGTACAGGGCAACTAAAATTCTAACACCCTATAACCACTAAAACTAGCAAATTCAACAGACCCCGTTGTTGATCCCAAAAGAAGAGTATAAACATAACCGATTCAATCTCAAGGCTTCCAAGCCTAAGCCCAAAACCCAAAATGTCCGACTCGGTCCACCATGGCAGCATTCTGCAATATGCGGGAGGCAGAAGTGCATACAGAAAGAAACTAAACCTCCATCTGACAGCCCTAATATCCTATTTATCCTAGAACCCCAACAACCCAACCTGAACGCCCTCATTGAAACTTTAAACCCTAGCCTATAAGCCCTATACAATTATAATTAGACATCCCGAAAAGGCTCCTATGTTGCTGGCCTCTCTGGGGGTCTCGTTGGTGCGGCCGTGGGTGGCGCAGCTGGGCCATTGGGAGCGGTGGTGGGCTCTGCGTCTCGGCTTTTGGCGGTTCATTTGTTGTGGTTTCCATGGCTCTATAGAGCTGCATGTGGCTTTAAGTGCCGGCTTCATTGTCACGGACATGCTGTCTACAGGCACATCGAGCTAGAGCTTTTCCGCGCCAGCCTTTTCGCCAAAGTGTTTAGTTTGCTGGACCCTGAGTCGAGTTTAAGTTTGACTTGATTGGTCAGTGTGGGCTCTAAAGCGCAGGCAGGCTACGTATGATCTGGGCAGTTGCGTGAAAACTCCAAATGGGAAGTCCGCAGCCGGCTCGGCTAAAGTCGAGCCTGCCTCCTTCTTTATGCACCGAAGACACGCCATTTCAACATCGTGTGCAAGTACGGATGACACCAACACTCTAAACCCGAAGCCCTCAACAACTGAAGTGTGCCCTCGAGCCTTCAACCCGAAGCCGCTCAGTCGGGGCTGGGGCCCCATGCACCGATGGAAGTCCAAGTCCAGTGAACTCTACCACAGAGGTATCTTTCGTTCTGCGTCCAGTTTGGCGGTGCTGTTAGGCTTCGGGCAAGTCTTCAACCCGGGGAGCATCGTGGACTTTCAGAGTACCACCCCAGTCAAGGATGTGGATGTTTTCATCAGCCATGCCTGGTCGTCCAGCCGATGGGAGAAATACTTGGCCTCGTGCTACTTCCTGAACCTCGGTTTCGCAGCAAAGGCAATGCTGGCATCTGTGGTGCTTTCCGAAAGCTTCATGCTGGTTTGTCCCGATGTGTCCATCCATGCGGTGTTCTGGTTCCTCCTGGACTTTCCAATTTTGGTCTTCTTTTTGGTCTTCTTCTTTGGACAGCACCTCACTTGGGGAGTTTGGGGTCCTCGCTTCTGGGTGGACAGGCTCTGCGTGGACCAAGCCGATGAGACAACAAAGGCGGAAGGGATCGCGGGCTTGCCAACCATTGTGGCAAACTCGTCTGAATTGCTTGTGTTCTGGGACAGGTCGTACTGCGAACGGCTCTGGTGCAACTTCGAGCTGTCGATTTTCGCAAAGAGCCACGGTCTCAAAAACCTGCATCTTGTGCCACTGTGGCTTACTCCGTGGCTGCTGACCACCATGTTGCTCTCTTACGTTTCAGCTCGGCTCGTCGCTGTCTTTGCCGAGATTGATCCGAACTTCATTGTCAGTGACACCAGCAACTCCCACGGAGTCGAGGGCAGCGCGCTTGCATTCGGACTACATCGAATATGTGAGTATGCGCTGCAAGCTCAGACTTACACGCTCTTCTGTGTATCACCCATGCTGGTCGGTCTTGTTTCCTTCCAGAAGAAGTTGGACGGACATAGGGATATGTTGGAAAGCATGGAATCCTTCGATGTACGACGTGCCAAGTGCACTGCAGAGCCCGACCGTGTCGTCATCGAGGCCCAAGTGGCGGAGCTTTTCGACGGGCTCGAGGATCCCATCATCGCTGTGCCGATCGAAGCGGAGAAGTCAGCTGAAGGTGAGGACGAGCGGCAGGAGCTCATCGACCTGTCCTTGTCCTTGACTTCTTCAACTCGTCTAGCTGTGCGCTCTGTGACGAGCATTTCGAGCCATGAAGATTGCCTGGCAGAGTTCAACAAGTACGTGCGGGGGCCACTGCGTGACGCAGTTATAGAAGACCTTGGCGAGGTGACTGATATACCCTATGCTGTTTGTCTGCTGGCCATGTTTCCCTACACCTTGGTTGTCGCTCCTATTACTTGGGTTCAAGAGCCTGCATTTCATGCCCTCGGCTTTCGATCTGAATTCGAGTATTTTGCCGTGAGCTTCGCTGAGAACATCTTCGTTGCGTTGGTGTACCCTGCAGCATGTCCCTTTTTGCTCCGATGTGTGCAGTATCTCAACGAGAGCTTCGACCGCGGCATTGTGCGAACCGCCTCAGCATGTGTCTGTGCATGGCTGGCATTCAGTATTGTGGAGCTTGAGAATTCCTTCGCAGCTGCATCCCTGGAGAGTTTTGCCATATCCCAGCACCCAGCTTTCTTCTGCTCCTTTGTGCTCACAGTCGTCGCCGTCATGTTCCAACACTACATGCTCTTCGGCGTGGGGTGGAAGCAAAAATCCAGCAGAGAGGTTGGGATGTAAGGTGGGAGGGCTGTTCGGCTGTTTTGGTACTGAAAATCCCAGCGCCCAGCCTTCCTTCTGTGCTCTCCGGCGCAGAGTGGCCAGACAGATCCACCCATGGAGACATAGGGTTGAAGGGCTCTGCAGAGCCGACGGCCTTTCAAGAAACAGAGGGCAATGTTCCGCTTCAGATGGTGCAGCCATGCTGGGATGTGACATTTCCTTCATATTTTTGTTGCTTATTACCTGCCTGTTTATTGATTACCTACTGATAGTGTTTGTCTATTACAAGTAGCTCTCGCTGTCTCGCTGTAGTTGAGATACGTTGGACCGCTGGACTATCTGGAGCCTTGTCTCCATTCTGCGAGTGTGAGCAGGGTTTAGGGTTTAGGGGTGAAATGCGGAGTTGTTTCGACTTCCCTGCGATCTCTTGAGTTGAGGGGTGGAGTTTCAGTACCTGGTTTTGATCGCGGTCTTGTTCTCTTTATGGAGGAGTGGCAGGCAGGAACTTAGTAAGGGAGTAACTGGCCTAAACCCTAAAGTTCATAACTACGTATACTTTCTTGTACCCCCAACTCTCTTTTGCAATGCATATTGCCAATGCGAAACCTTAATATTTTTTAATACTAAGCCAACCTACACCCTCTCACTCAGCGCAGCTTCTATGCAGCCCTCCAATAGTTAGTTAATTACACATACTATTCCGTATGGCTCCTGAAAGTATGTGTAGCTAAACTCCCTAAACTCCAAGCCTCTAAACCCAAAAAAACCTCTTAACCCTATAAACCCTAAGCCCCCTTAACCCTACTTGGAGGATCATGGGACTTAGTAACTATAGTTATAAGTCCCTCAATTGGGGTTACAAGCAATTATAAGTATAGTTACCCCAGTAATAACCCTAGATTCTAAGTCCCATGATCCTTCAAGTAGGCCCTAAACCCTAAACCCTATAGATCCCTTATAGTAACCCTATAGACCCCTTTAAAGGAACCCTATAGACCCCTTTAAAGGAACCCTATAGACCCCTTTAAAGGAACCCTATAGACCCCTTTAAAGGAACCCTATAGATCCCTTTAAGGAGCCCCCAAAGCCCAAGATGACTGGGGACCCGGGACCCCCATCATCCGAGGTAGTCGGAGCGACGGAGCCTCGGTTGTTTGGGTTTTCAAGGTTTTTTCAGGGTCACCTCGGTTTAGGTATTATAGGGGTTCGGGGTTTAGGGGTTTAGGGTTTAGGAATTATAGGGGTTCGGGGTTTAGGGGTTTAGGGTTTAGGAATTAGGGGTTCGGGGTTTAGGGTTTAGGAATTAGGGGTTCGGGGTTCGGGGTTTAGGGGTTTAGGGTTTAAGCTTCAGGGTCGCCTCGGTGTGATATGGTGTGCTTTCGATTGAATCAAGGGGTTTCTGTGAAGGTAATTACAGCTAGTCTTTTAATATGTTTTTGGCCTGCACTGCAATGCTACGTAATCATTGGATACTCCGTAATGGCCTGGCGTGGCAAGTCTTAAGGGCATTGCGGCTTAGCTTGCACACTCCGGTGATGTAGATACATGTTACCCAAACTCCTAAGAACCTAATCCCAGAACGCAGTTCTTGCGGGTTCTTGCACCGGTGCTTTAGTGTATTCCTTAGACTTTGCACGGATGGTTCGGGCATGGTCCCAAGCCAGCTCCCATTCTGCGGCTAGGCTTTGCGCTTTGGAGCTTTTGCTGTTTCGGGCCGGACTTGGATGTGTGCATCCTAACGGGTATCCTGCAATGCAGTAGAGGCTTATCGTTGTGTGTCACCGTGCTGTTTTGATGCATGGATTGAAATCTATCTTCCGCGTATGTGCATATGTCTGTACGTACGCGCACGTACTTATGTATGTATGTACGCACTATGTAGGCATGTATGCATGTATGTATGAATGAATCTATGTATGTATGTATATACGTATGTTTATTTTGTATGTGTGCATGCATGCATGCATGCATGTATGTGTGCGCATGTGCATATGCATGTGTTATATATATATATATATATATGTATATATATATATATATATATACATATATATATATACACATATTGATACAGGTATGTACATATCCAAACGCACATTATATGCATGTGCATATAAGTATACATACATGCATATGTGTGTGTTTACATACACACATACACGTACACATTATCCATTTATCTACATATATACAATCATCTACCTACCAATCTATCTACCTATCTATCTACCTACCTCTCTATCTATCTATCTATCTAACTATCTGCTCTGCATATATATATATATATATATGGCATAAACTTGCACATGCTATATGCTGTGACAAGGCATGAAGCCCAACAGCAGCTTTAAAACATGCGTCGGCAGCTGCATGAATGTTCGGAGCCTGTGAAGCATCTCTGTAGGGCTTGGGGCTCCTTTATACTGTTGATGATATAAATCCTAGGGGTTCGTTTAAAGGGATCTACAAGGGTACCTTTAAGGGGTTCCTGTAAGGGATCTATAGGGTTTTAGAAAAAAGGGCTGAGAGCAATCCCAGGCGGGTGGCGAGAGTGCCAAGTGGATGGCTGCACAATCGCAGATCGTCGATTTCAATCACATGAACCTCGGCATGCTATTACGCCGCCCGTGTTCGGCCAGCCGGCATTGTGGATTGTTCATCCCATGCTTTCTGCTGGTGCTATGTCTCAAAACTCCAACTCACCAGTCAAGATCTCTTACAATCACGAACACGCGATAATGCCAGGAAGCATTTCCGGTTTTATACTTCGGCGGCCGATGGCCACCAGTATCTGCCACAGCCTCAGCATATCACATGTCAATCGTCATTTTCAGAGACTAAGGCCTGGTTGCGCATGCGCCCATGCCAGTAATATCGGGACTTAGCAAAAAACTGTAGGGTTCTGCGGGTGTGCCATACTAGGACCGGGAATCCCAGAGGGAGTGTTTTTTGTATTGGTTCAAGCTTCTATTCTACCTGGGTTCGTGCCTCCCCTACGGACTGACTTCCCCATCCACTAAGTGATGTCCTTGCGTCCCCACGAAAACCTTCAGCGTACACCATACGACATATAGAGGTCAGACCATTGAGACATGAACCATTTGCCGGTACAGCAGCGTGTAGTGTCGAAAGGATTTCAATATCACGGCACCTATAGAATCAGCGAAAGTGGCCTTACGAATCAATGGTTTACATGAAGGCCTCATTCGGGTTTAAAGGGTTTGGAGTCTTGAGCCGTGTGTAGCCTAAACACGAGCCGTTTCAGTTTCGCACCTCGACGTAGAAGCTTTAGAGCGACAGATGGTTCATATAACTCCACACAAGATCGCATCAAAGGCTCAATTCGGAGCTGCAGCTCTGTTTTAGAACACCGCTTGAGGTTCAAAAGTCTGCGTTCAAAAGTGTTCAGGGTGAAGGGTCTTACGAGCTCGGGAAGTCGACCTTAAAGCCTAAAGTCACAACCTTCTGCGACCCAAAGAAGGTTCTGCACCCTTGGCGAATCGTGTCCTCGAGCCCAAACCGATCCTTCTGACGTCTTTGGAAACCGGCTAGCACACTGCCTGCCCTAAACCCTAAACCATAAACCCACCCTAAACCCTTGACAGTAGTTTGCACTGACTGAAACATGTTGGCCCGCCCTTGAATCTGTAAGTCCTGGCTCCGGCCCTGATGCCGAGCTTTAACAGTTACTAGGTAGGGCTTTGGGACATTTTATATCTGCTCTTTTTGGTCTTAAGAGGATCTTACCTACGGCTTTCAAAGCACCTCCTAGAGCATATTCCGAATTCGTTCCAATCATGATAACACACGGTCCTGCGCACGTCAAACCCTACTACCTAAACCCAAACCTGTAGCCGTCGTACAACCGTTCCTCTCGCGACCCGCCGCAATGCGGGCTTCGTCCTTGCTAGGTAGGAGGGAAAAAACCCTAAACCCTAAACCCTAAACCCAAACCCTGAACCAGGCCGCCTGTGAAGCTTCTGTTCTTGTCTTGTGCTTACCTGTGTTCGAAGCTTCCCAGAGACTCCAATACCCCTTAATTAAGGAATACTCCTTAAATCATATTAGGGATTCTACTATAATTTAAGGTATATTCCTTAATTAAGGTTTATTGGAGTCTCTGGGTTCGTCGCTTAACAAAATCGCCATATAGAAATCAGTTGACATTGGGTGCACAGTACGGCTATGAGCCTGAGTTAGAATATGGGAGTTTCCGAAAATTAGGGTTCCCTTCTTTTGGGGTTCTTATAATAAGGATCCTACTATTCAGGGTACTATATTAGGCTCCCCTATTTTCGGAAACTACTATTTCTTAGCAGGCAACAAAACCTAGCACCGAACACTCGCGGACGCGAGCCAGATAGAACCGAATCAGGGCGCTTCAAATGACCAAACCTTAGATCAAAATAACACCAGAAACTTTGAGCCCAAACAACAACTATAAACCTCAAATCGAATCCTCACCCAGCTAGGTCGAACCAAGTCCGTTATCATATTGCTTTGCCCACCATACCTACATATGATCCAAACCCTATTCAAAAATATGAAACCCTTATCTATCCTTTCTGGTTACGAGCTCAAGGGCTTACAGGTTGGAAGCGGTTTCGCTGTGAGCCTTGAGTCCTTCCCCAAGTCCTTCCTCTCAATCAGGACAGCAAACACCGCCTGAAACAAACAAATGTAACTAACGCAAGAGAGAATCGCATAAGCGAAGAAGCCACGAAGAGCATGAAGCACCCAAGGCTGAAGACCTTTAGACCCTGAGCCCTCAACCCTAAGCCTTAAAACCCTGAACCCTAAGCCCTAAGCCCTAAAACCCTAAACTCCTAAACTCCTAAATCCCTAAACCCTAAATCCCTAAACCCTGAACCCCTAATTCCTAAACCCTAAACCCCCTAAGATTACAGCGCAACAGGTCGCACAGGGCCACCGTCCAAGCACCCGGAGCCGAACTGCTGGTTTCCGTAGCTGCAAAGATTACTACTATTTGCTTAAGAAACCACCCAAAAAATAAAAAAAAATAATAATAATCCCTATATTACCCCCATATGGAATATATTTTTTATTTTTTGGTGGTTCTTAAGCAAATAGTAGATTAGGGGCCCCCACCCTGTAATAGTGACTGTAAGGATTATATTAGGGTCCTATTATATTCCTATTATACCACTATTATGGGGTGGGGGCCCCTTCTAAGGTTTAGGGTTTACACTAGGTATGTCTTGCTGTCTTTAAACAATGGCGGTTTGAGAATTCCGAGCTTGCGTTTAGAAGGACTAGTGCTCTTATAATGGCAGTTCGGGTTTGGAGTTTGGGATTTAAGAGAATTCGGAGTCAGTGGGAGGATGGGAGGTCTGGAGCTTTAGGATTTGGGGGCCGGGACTGTTAGGTATGTTGCAGTTAAGGGATAGGCCAAGGGGCTACAAATTTTAGGTTTGGGGTTTGGGGGCCCTGAGATGTAAGGCTTTGGGGTTTGCAGTGCCGTAGTCCCAAAAGCCTACCTGTTCAGGATCTGTATACAGAAGTCATAGTAAGTGGTTTTCCAGATTTCAGGTCCAGGTGAAGGATGGCAACCTTCTTGCAGCCCGAGCCCCCCATCCCAGCATGCTGATGTAGGCGTCGGGATAAATAGTAATGCCATCTCTAGGGCCCTGAAAATTTTCCGATGATGCTCAGCCCGTGATATGCCCCAAACCCTGTAACCAGTCAGTCCCCTACAGTAACATTATTGTCTGTTTTGCAGCAACCCCTTCGTCCCAGAACCAACTAGCGGAACTGATGTCTAGCCCGGTCGTATAGCAAACCCTGCAAAGTGAATGAAGGGGCTGTTGCAGGTTCTCATCGTCTTAGTGCAGGCAGGGACCAACGGGGTGCTTCTTGGCCGCAAACATCTTGCAAGGAATCGGCAGAGACCAGTGTTTGGATGCATAGTCGGAGTTTGCTGTGATGAGATAGGCAGTGTAGGGAAGCCCCTAAACCCTAAACCCCTAAACTTAGTTTCAGCGACGCCAAGGTAAAACCAACTCTTGCCACATGCCAATCAGGCCATGTCAGGGTAAAGCCGCTGGTAGACTGGCCTTTCTCAGGGTTTGAGGTTACTGTAGGGGGTTTGGCTTTGCCCAAAAGTCTGCGGCGTTGAGGCGAAATCTCTGGAGCTATGCAAATGGGCAGATGTCTGGCCAAGACATGGCTATGGCCTTCGGCAGAAGCTTGGATTTCTTCAATCCTACAACCCGAAGTCAAGAGCCAGTGTTCTTGTTGATTTCTGGGTGCCTAGTTGAGGTGTGCTGAACGTAGCCAGTTGCGGCTTTACATCCCAAGTGCAGGCCGTTGGGTCTTGTTTAGAGGCGGTTGGTCATAGACACCTGTGTTGGATAGATGTCCCACATCGTCGGCATAGGACCGGACCAGGGCCATTATTCCGTGGCCTGCATTTTTTGAAGACTACACGACCCTGATGAGAGCTATACAAATCCCCCAGAGGGCTTACTGCAGGGTGCCGTTCGTGGACTCATATATATATATATATATATATATATATATATGAATATATATATATATATATATATATATATATATATATTTAAGCTTCCGGAGCCTTAACTGTACGAGCTCAGGGTTTCAGGTTAGAGGATCATCGACCAGCAACGACTTGTACTGTGCTGCACGTGAGAATCTGCAAGGCATGTCGCATTGCATGAGAATATTGGTGCGTGTAGCTCGTGTAGACGGAGCACCCGACTTCTTCGACCTTCTCGACGAGCTGGTTCCTGGCAGTCAGCAAGTCCCGCTTTAAAAAGGGCTTCTAAGACGTGAGTATCATAGTGCTAGTGGAGTCTTCGATGAGACCTACGTACCGCTCTTTTGGATGTGTTGCAGTGAGTTGCTGGAGTCGAAATTTAGGGTTTGGGTTTAGGGTTTCCTAAACCCTAAACAACCCCACTTGAAAAAAAAACACCGAGGAGACCTGCGCGACGGTGTTATTGTGTCAACCTCGGCGCAGGTGGTGTTGAAGGCATCGATTGGGGCATCTTCGGGGGTGTAGGAAATTGACATCGCGCGAGTCTTCAAAAATCGAGTCAGTGAAGGTAAACACAAGGAGGGGTTGGGGTTGAGGGCGGAGCGAAAACACAGAGTTCGCCTTACGGCCAAGGTCGGGAAGTGTTAGGATTAATTCCCTGAGCGGCAGCGTCCCCAGAGACCCTTAACAACCCTATACCGTAAACCCTAGCTGAAACAAAGGAGATGTTTGGTTTGGGTCCCCGTCTTCATCAGCAGGTTGCGATGCATCACGCCCTACTGGTAGACGCCCATTCTTATTCTTACTCTTATTCGAACGTTTTTATTGTGGCTCCTTATATGAGACTACATGAGTTCACAAGAACCGAATCACCATCTCCCAGCGTTGTTATAAAACCCAAGGTTCCTGATTCAATCTGTACCTAGTATACCCACGTAATTTACAGATTTAGGCTGAGGGTGAAACCTCCTAAACTCCTAACCTCTATAAATTCCTCAACCCCACACCCCGAGCCCCTGACCCCGATCCCTCAAATCCTCCGGGTAGAAAGAACCAAAAACTCCCAACCCCAAACAAGATTACCGCTGTTTCGAGGAGCCTCTAGCCTCTAAGCCCGACCCCCGCCGCAAATCCGAAAACTTGAAACCTAGAAACCTTCAGGGTTTAGGGTTTAGGCCCCCCCCCCCGAAAACATATTTCCTAAACCCCAAACTAAACTATGCAACTTTGCACACCCTTCCATGGACTCCAAACTCCGCAAAAATCCCCCGTAAGGCGCTGCAATGGGGCCAGGGCCACGCAGCCGGCAGCTCGCCTAACCCAGCTCAGAAGGGTTTAGGGGTTAGGGTTTAAGGATTTACGGTTCGGGGTTTTGAGGATTGTAGGGTCTAGGATCGAGTATGAGGTTTAGTATAGGGTTTAGGGGCTTAAGAGAGTTCAGAGTTTATGCTTTAGACGTTAGGGTTCAGGGTTCACGATGTGCGGCTTAGGGTCTCCAGGCGAAGTACGAAGCCTGTTGCAAAAAGGGTTTAGGGTCTTCAGGGCTTAGTGTATTGCAGTCCGTGGTCTTTCAATCTACGTCCACGAGAAAGAAAGGATTGGATCAGATCCATGTGCATGAGGGTTTGATGGCTGCTGACTTTTAAAAGTTTTCTTCAATTCAGGGGTCCCGTTTTGTTTTTTTTTGAGGGGGAACTCTCTATCTTGAAGATCCTAGTCTGGAAGGTTTGTATCTGGGTCAGGTGTGTTTATCTGAAGCTCGCACGCAGAGTTCCCCGAAGCACAAAAGATGGGACTATGTGGGATGTGCCAAACGTGTTTAATGTTGATGGTTTGCCTTACATCATGGCCCTAACAGACATCCCCTTGTATTGCTTACTTAATGGTCTTAAAATTTATTCCAAATCCCCGTTCGAGCTGTCAAGGCTCTTGTATTCACTCTGGGAACTATAATGCGTATTGTGCACCAGCATTTTTGCATTACTATTCCTCCCCAACTCGTGGCTTCTACCCTTTCTGATTTTTTGTTGGGTCTTTTGCTAAAGCTTTAAAGCGAACAAAGCACATCCCGACAAGTACTACTAAGGTTTTACTGACGACCCAACTTGCTGTTGTGTATGAACGCATTCAAGCGTGTATGATCATCGGTCACCGCCGAAATCATTCCACACCCAGAGATTCCAATATCCCTTAATTAAGGAATATTCCTTAAATTATAGTAGGATCCATAATTTGATTTAAGGTATATTCCCTAATTAAGGGATATTGGAGTCTCTGGGCAGGCTCGTGGATTGCTTCGTTGAGCGCGACGACACTGAGCCAGCCGGTGCCGGTCCTGATGGTGCCCTGGGCCAAGCACTGGAGCCTTCAATCTGCAAGCGCAAAACCACAGGCCCGAAACTCTAGCCAGAAGCCCGCTTCCCTAGCCCCGCACCGCCATATGCGTCGAGAAATCTGCAGTCGAAGCCCTCTGAGCAACGGGGTTGTATAGAGGTTTTGTTTGGCAGAGGGTTTGATTTTCGGGAGTCTTAAATGATTAGAACAGCCATTTGGGTTATACTCGATAACCCTAAACCCTACACCCGAACGACTATACTGTAACAATATTTGGGCAGAAGAGGGGGGCCTTTGGGGCTTGGAATGAGACGGAGCTCCATATGGCAGCTTTCATGGCTCTTAGATTATTAGGTTGTAGTTGGGGATATAGTCTCCAAGGTGCGGTTATCCTAATTATAACGTACTTAGAACCTTACTAAGTTCCATGAGGCTTTAAATAAGCTGTGTGAAACGGAGTGTCAATTGTTTTCCTTCTCCGGCTTAGCGCTTGTACAGTTTATGGCGCCCGTAATGGGCCCGTAATGTCTTCTGCCTCTTACGAACCACCCCGTCAATCTTGGACCGAAAAACTAAGTTGTCAAAACTTAATCCTAAGCCTCCGCATAGACCTCAAGCCCCTACGCTCTAAACGCATAGACCATCATCCGCTAACCCCATTACACTTAGCGCCATGCAGGCCCTGCACCTTCTTCACTTAGATCCTCCAGCCTAGGCACGTAGACCCAAATCCCCTGTTCCTGAACCGCAAACACCTAATAAAGGTGCACCAGTATAGTCGAATAGGGTCTTGCACGGAAGAGGGGCTGCGAAACGGGCCTCCGAAATTCCCAACACGGACCTAAGGCCGTCTTGACCGGGGGCCTCCTTGCCTCGCAATGCCTTCGCTCCTTGCCTCAGCAACGGATTCCTTCTTCTTCTTCCTTCTTGACTATTTTCATAAATTATGGTTGTTGTTGATATATATATATATGTATATATATATATATATATGTATTGCTATTACTACTACTACTACTACTACTACTACTACTACTACTACTACTACTACTACTACTACTACTACTGCTGCTACTGCTACTGCTACTGCTACTGCTACTACTACTGCTACTGCTACTGCTACTGCTACTGCTACTGCTACTGCTACTGCTACTGCTACTGCTGCTACTGCTGCTGCTGCTACTCTGCACTGCTTGCACTGCCACTGCCACTGCCACTGCACTGCACTGCCACTGCACTGCTACTGCTACTGCTACTGCTACTGCTACGACGACTACCACTACCACTACCACTACCACTACCACTACTGCTACTGCTACTGCTACTGCTACTGCTACTGCTACTGCTACTACTACTACTACTACTACTACTACTACTACTACTACTACTACTACTACTACTACTACTACTACTACTACTACTGTTATTATTATTACTACTACTACTACTACTACGACGACTACGGTTACTAAATTATGAATAGTCTTGTTATTGTTATTATGATAATGACTATGAAGCTTCAAGCTTCTTGCACGTGGGCGTTTTGGGTTTAGGGCAGGGGTTTAGTGGTCCAGGGCGCTTAAGGAATCCCAAAAAATTTACGTTTAAGGACTCCAAAATCAGGGTGTGTTCCGTAGGCCCTTTCGCTTGAACACAAGAATCCGGGAGTCCTTCGGTAGGACGTTGGTGTGCTGAGCTTAGGGTTCAGGGGTTTTTCAGAGTTTGAGAATCCGTGTGCTGCAGTTGTTGGTGTGTTCGTCAATGGCCCAACTGTAAATGTAAGGCATCTAAGGGAAGACATGAGGCGTGCAAAGGCTTAGCTGGTGCTGGTGCAGCAAGCCGCAAGCAAAGCTCATTCGGGTTTGTGGCTCAGGCACATGTCTAGGGCATGATGTTCCATTGTAGTAAAGCCCAAAAAGTTGGAAACCGGATCAAGGACAATTAGTGCTGGGATTCCCGAAACATGACTCTCAAGGATTAAGGCTATTTGGTTTCCAATGTTTGATCTTCTACTAGAACTTATCTATAAGCCATGAAGGCCGGAACCGAAAACCGCTGCGAAGGCTACTCCATGGGGACCATCTCACTGGAGCAGCTGCGTGCCAACTCCGTCCTCGCAGCCTGACGGAATTCGGACCTTCCCAGTTGCGTCACTTCTAAGAAACATCCATGTCAGACCCAATTCCAGCCCGAAGCGGCTGAAAACATGATTTTATGGAAGCGTCTGTAGACTAAAAGTTTTGCCTGCGCCGGTGCAGTCCCTATGGTATGGTTTCGCCGCCAAGCCCCTAAGCCCTAAAGGTTTCGCGAGTGTGCTGAAGCCCAAGCCTCTTAGTTTTTGCAAAAGGCTGTCTTGACGAGACGTGAATTATGTGAGCATAACCACGTCAAGCCCTAAACCCTCAAACGTAAAATCCCAAATCCCGTAAAACCCGAAACCCCAAACCGAGAATTAAGAGCCCTAGGCCTAGGCCCCCGTAAGCCCTAAACCCTAAACCAAGAATTAAAAGCCTTAGGCCTTGGTAGTCTCAAGGCTTCCAACCTGGCGGAAGGACAAAAACACAAACAATGTAGGAACCTGATAGTGGGGGTTCGTTCCTTTAAAGGGGTCTATAAGGGTTCCTATAAGGGATCTATATCAAGGCTACTATCCGAACCCCTCAGACCTTCAACCTTGGAAGCCTCCAGCTCGGAGGGTAGAGCCCCCATATAGGAGCCTAAATTATTACAATTAATTACCAATACTATTTTGGGGGCTCCTTGTTATAAGTATGGTATGTTAGGCCCCAAACCCTGTTCTAATTCTAATTATTAACATTATGCCCTAAGCCGCAATCCTACTATAGTGGCCTGAAGAATTCGTAAGGGTACCCCCTGCAGCCCAATGATTCTTCCAAAACCCAATCCAGGCTGCCACAGTGTCTGGAGCAGGCAGGGCGGCTTCGCTTTCGTGTCGCCAGCCGAGCCATGGGTTGAAACTGACTTGGAAGTGGGTACAAGTTAAGGGGCCTAAATAATTACGTATATATTCTATTCATTATAGTTATAGTATAATTTGGCCCCAAAACCCTATTCTAATTATTAAGGCCCCTACATTACAAATTCAGGTCTCTATGTCGGCTTAGGGTGTCGAGGTGTCGATTCAGCCCGGGGGTTTGGGGTTTAGGTGCTGCAGGGTTGGTGTAGCAGGTGGTGATCTCGCTGGGCTTGAGCCCTGTAGAAATAGAGGGCAAGTTGTAGATAAGCTCTCCGGCGTGGGCGCTCAGCTGTGGCATGCAAGGCGTTACAGCCCCAACTGCGTACATTGTATCTCACAGCTCCAGTCAGAGCATTTAGGGTTCGGTGTTACTTGAGCTTGCGAGTTGGGAAGGAGTGTGATACTGGTCAGTCAGTGACGGCAGCTGCTGGACAGACAACATGTCCGAATCCCGAAGCGCGAAACCACTCGCAAACAAAATCAGTCTTTTTTGCTACCCAAACCTAAACTTTAGATGCAGACTTCTATGCCGGAAATAAACCTTTCCCTAGACCCTCCAGCACCATAGCTAGAATTTTAGCCTCCCAACTCTTAAGTGTATAATTTTTCAACTGATGTCTTGCAGCTGCAACTCCACAGTCCGCTTCGGCATTTAGGGTTCAGGGCTCCGGGCTTAGGGACTTTCACACGGGGCTGAGGATTTCGGATTCCGAGTTTAGGTTTTTGGGTGAGGACCCACGTGGTAGCAGGAGTGAGGGAAGATCATATGGCGTGAATTTGATTTGGTCCTTCTCGGTTCATGACTTAGGCTTCAAAAGTTGCAAGCCTTGGAATTAAAGGCTTATCAGGGTTTCATCTGCTGCCTGTGAACCTTGAGCTCCACGGAGTCCGGCAGCCTTGCATTTGAGAGTATTGCATGGTCTTGGGAGCACAAATTGGAAATGTAACTTGAAAGTAACTTCCTTAAGAAACAACTCGGTATTTCTCATCTTTTGTCCGTGCGGCAGGCATTGCCACGAACGTGGCCGCTTAGACGCAACAAGAAAAAGTATATTCTGAGGGAGCCTCGAAGATCTTAGATGTAGGCTTTCGGGCTTGAAGTTTCGGCTTCATTTAGGTTTGGGTTCAGTGTTAGGTGTTGAAACCGGAGGGCTCATGACGGATTAGGGTTTAGGGTTAAGAAATTGAAGATGGGGTCTCGAAGGAGTGTTGAAACTCTGCCCAGCCGGTCAGCCAGAAAAGGACACCTTGCCTTGGTTGTTCCGAAGATCTGTTCGCAGAAGTAGCCGTTGCCGCGGGGATGTCAGCTTTTGTAACTACAATCTCCTTATGCCTTGTGATGAAGAAGTCTTGTTATGAGGAGCACAAAACAAAGCACTCCTAACTGAAACCCCCTAAACCCTAAACCCTAAACAGCCTCTCGAAGACCTTCGGGCTTTCGCAGAAAAGGAGCTTAAAAACAAAAACGTCTGAAAGAACCTACCCCAATGTTGCCAGACTGGGGTCTTCCAACCCCCCAATGCTACCAGAGTCGTCTTCGAACGACTACCCCGTGTTCAATATAGGGGCGCCCGCCTACTATTTTACAGGGTTCCTTATTAATAATTACCAGTAGTAGTAGTAGTAGTAGTAGTAGTAGTAGTAGTAGTAGTAGTAGTAGTAGTAGTAGTAGTAGTAGTAGTGGTTTACTATACCCCTAAGCCCGATTCTACTTGTTAAGGGCTCCTATAATAGATAATTCTATTATATAGATCCCTTAGAGGCCCCTTTGAAAGGAGCCCTATTCTAATTATTCAGACCCCCTATGATAGCCCGTCCGTCTCTAGGCCTGTATCGGGCTCCACCTGCCGTTTGTCAGCTGCGCCTTGCATCTCGCCAGAGTCTCCGTTCGCTAAGCTTGTCGGCCTACCGTTCTGAAGGAAATGTATAGGGTTTTGGGTTCAGGGTTATGCATAGGGTGGGAAACGTGTAGGGGGCAGTACAATAAGGGACCCTGAACAGGTAGGTTTTGGGGTATGAGAGGCTCTGTGATACAGGGTTATGGGAACTTCAGGCATTTAATCATGCAGCTCACCGGTTATATTTTCCTCGGTGGCACCACCCACCTGACCGAAGATTGCTGACAGGATGTTATCGTGTCAGTCGTAGTGGCTTTGGGCTTCTCATCTCCTCGCTTGAGCTTGACTCAGGAGTGCCCAAGCGAGGTTTTCCTAGGCACACCACCACCACTCTGCTTACCTTTGGTTAGTAGGGAATGGAGGAATGGGGCACAATTATACTTAACTACTATGACTACCATTCTTCCATTCCCCTTACCGCAGGTAAGTCTGGTGCACAAATCCACTCATGGCCCGGCCGATAGACTGAAGTGACCCTTGGTGTGCAGAAGGGCTCAAGCAGCTGCTGCTGAAACGTGGGGACTGTAGTTGCTCTGGGTGTCATGTTCCATACCGAACTGAGAAGTGTGCGGGGTTTAGGAACAAGCAGCCTTGTACCTGATGAAAGAGAGCTCCTGGGGGAAGTTTAGCACCTCGTGTGCCGGACAGTCTTGTACGTACTACCTCGAACAAACGTGAACCCTGAAGCCCGACACCCGAAACACAAATCCGCCTCAAGCCCGAATGTCCAGAAGTGGGGAGGCTTACCTGCACTGCCAGTAACCTGGCCGGTTTGTGGGCTTACGAGGCAGGGTACGGGATTCAAAGGGTTATACTATGTCAGGTTTAGGCCTTTGGCGTTCAAGGTTTAGGGTTGATACTGTTCAGGGCTTTGAGGTTTTCGAGGCTGGGGTCCAGAGTTGCAGCTTCAAACCCTGAATCATACAGAGGTTTGGAGGCAAACTCAGGGTGGATTGAGACCCCTGCATCAGGACTTCGGCTGTCAGTGGTTTGAGCGCTCCCTTTTCCTTCCTCCCTTCTCCCTCATTGCTTTCCCTCTTTGACGCAGGCCTGGAGAGCAGGAAAGCAGGATGCTTTGGAGGACCTTGCATGCAGAGTTTGGGGAATGTGGTATGATACCGGCAGGAAACAATATACATGTGCGAGTGTGCAGAACCCTTCGTGTGTGTGTGTGTGTGTGTGTATATATATATATATTAATATATATACAAACACATACATATACGTATATTCCGCAAAACACACATATACATATGCATATATATATATATATATATATATATATATATAAATCCAGCCTATAAATAATCATAAACCCATACCTACGTATGTACATACCTACACATACATACATACATGCATCCATCCCTCCATGCATGCATGCAGGCATGCATGTGTGTGGGCACATGCAGTTTATATACACATGAAATAAACACACGTTCTATGCCTACACAGTCATTCACCTTGTCAGGGGTTCAGTTTTTGAGGCTTTCAGGCCGTGTGCAGCAACGCTAGTGTTCAGGGTCGGGTATCAGTGTTTGGGTTTGCTGGTTCTCCGACTTGTATGCAGAGTGAGATGACATGATGACACGTATGCGCTACAGGAACATGGTGGTTTGTCATTTGGGTGGTTTCAAGGGTGACCAGTACCCCATATGTCGTGAGCAGAAATTTTAGCACATGGCTGCAAGTTGTTCTGACTTGATGGGTTCTTCAAACCTAACCCCAAAACTCCATAAGATCCTGCCAGGGTTTTAGGGCTTAGGGTTTAGAATTTAGAACCCCCCCAAATCCATAAGATCCTGCCTCGCTTGTCCGAGCGTGAGTTCCAAAAAATACACTGAAACCCCGGCAGGGCCGGTAAGCAGACCCCACGCCCAAAGCCCGTTTAACCAACGCCCGGGAGCTAGATCATACATCAGTAAACGTCGTTACACAAGATGTGAGTAGCAAGCACATGATGCAATTAAAGCACATGATGCAATTATTCATACATACATACATACATACATACGTATGTACATATATATATATATATATATATATATATAGATATACACATATACACATATACATATATACATACATACTTTTTCATATACACACACATACACACACACACACACACATATATATATATATATATATATATATATATGGTCACCCCCCCCCGTTGACAGACCATCCCCTTCAAAACATCGCTCCCACCGGTGTGTTCGTGCTTTTTCCGGGGTATCGAGTTTGAGCCCTCCGAACGTATCTGTGGAACCACCAAAAGACTCGTTGACAGACCATGCCCTTTCAACTCAGTCGTAGTGCATGGTCTGTGATCGGGGGAGGGGGTACTCAGCTTTCAAAAACTCAATTCCAAAATTTCCAAAATTTCCAAAATTCTCTCCCTTAACTTTCCGGATTTCCAAAATTTCCAAAATTTCCAAAATTTCCAAAATTTCCGAAATTTCCAAAATTTCCAAAATTTCCAAAATTTCCAAAATTTCCAAAACGGCCCGACCTAGTGGACAGGATTTTTCCAAAACATAAGGGCGGACTTTTTGGAAATTTTGGAAATTTTGGAAATTTCGGAAATTTTGGAAATTTTGGAAATTTTGGAAATTTTGGAAATTTTTGGAAATTTTGGAAATTTTGGAAATTTTGGAAATTTCGGAAATTTTGGAAGTTTTGGAACTTTTGGAAATTTTGGAATCTCTGGACCTTGGAATTGATTCTCAGGAGGGCTGATTGTGACCCATCCGATGACAGACCATGCACGACTTACTTGCAAAGGCAAGGGCTGTCAATACTCATGCCCATATTTAAACGAATATCTCTCAATCTACCTGTCTATCTGTATATACATATATGTATTGATACTCCTACATATAGTATTGCCATTGGAAATACTGACAGTGATCATTTGTTGAATGCTCAAGCTAATACCAGCATTACTACTAATATTACACTTCTATAAAGCTTAGTACGAATATGCATAACACAAATACTAAGATTGATTAGTATTGCTCTTATTACTCCTACGCATATCAATAACCATATTCATATTGATAATAATGTATATTAATACCAATACTAACACACACCTGTATGTACTAATGTACATAAACATGCATACCACCATATTAAAATACAAATCCTTTAACTCACTCATGTATTCAACTGTTAGAATTTCACGTGATCAAGAGTAATAATACTACAAACATTCTTTCGAATGTATATCATCAATAATATTATAGTACTAACGCTAACACTACTGCTAATACTTAACACAAAATTTATACTAACATCAATATTTACATAGCTATTGATACTCCTACGAATACGAATACGTAAACTCTTGTGCGTTAACAGTAGTGCTATCACCAACACTAATACGGACTTTGATAATCTGCTGAATATTCAAGAATGCCACTAGTATTACCAGCATGAACACCCATATTATGGCTATTACGAGTATAAATAGTCCTATTTCTAATAATATTGACATTAATACTGCTACGAATACCAATAGTATATTCATATTGATATGAAAACTAATATCATTACTAATGGACACCTGCTTATACTAATGTACATAAAATACAGCTAACACTACTGCTAATACTTCACACAAAATTTATACTAACATCAATATTTACATAGCTATTGATACTCCTACGAATACGAGTACGTAAACTCTTGTGCGTTAACAGTGATGCTATCACCAACACTAGTACGGACTTTGATAATCTGCTGAATATTCAAGAATGCCACTAGTATTACCAGCATGAACACTCATATTATGGCTATTACGAGTATAAATAGTCCTATTTCTAATAATATTGACATTAATACTGCTACGAACACCAATAGTATATTCATATTGATATGATGACTAATATCATTACTAATAGACACCTGCATATACTAATGTACATAAAATACATACCACTATCTTAAGATACAGATATATACGTCAGTGCATTCATGTATTAATGCTTTGGCATAGGCATATGCCCATATACCAATGTATCAATATACCTCTCGTTGTTGTATGAGTATACTACACGAATATGTGACTGTACTCATATACGGCTACTGCACTATGCAAGAATACCGACATGACAAGTTCGTATACCAATCCAATATGCCAACATACTGATATACTTATAAATGATTAGATAAAACAGTCATATAGTACACATACTCGTACACTAATATGCTAACGTTCGAATATACTGGTATGTCAATATACTAGTAAGCTAGTACAGCAGTATAGTAGTGTATTCATGCACCAGTTGTACTAACATGTAAAATATACTAGTATACAAGTATGCAAATATTTTACTGTTCGAATACATTGATGTACTGATATACTCATCTGCTAATATACGAGACTATCAATATACTAACATATCCAAACTAACTAGTTCTAATATTGATACTAATACTAGCACTTCTGCGAATATAAGCTGCTGTTAAACCCAGCATTAAGACTGATACTGATACTACTCGTAGCAGTGGTGCTGTATTACTGACATTGACACTGGCACTAGCGCTAACTCTAACACGAACATGAGCACTAACACTAATTTATAGTTGGCAATATTGATACGTATACTTACAGCAAACAATAGCCCTACTCGTCTTCCATGCTTGTTAAATGCGCCGGTTACTAACCTACATGAAAAGTGAGGCGGTTGCGTCAAAGAGAGTTTTTTGGGGAAGTTTGGAATGTCCCAGCAAGCAGTGGCGAGCACTAGGATTTTTTGCCACACGCCACTGTGCAACAGCCGATTTTGGAGGTCACGGACTGTTTCCTTAGATCCAAAGCATGGTTTGGGGACAAGAGATTCGGAGTCAAACAAGCGACCGAAGCTGTATATTTGCTGAAAAGACTCAGCAGCAGCCATCATGACATCCATCATTCTGGATGCCTAGGCATGATGAATCAGCTGGGCAGAGCACAGGAAGCCCAAAGAAAACCACTGGCAAGCACATAAACAGTCAGATTAAATTTGTAGGGGTTGGAGAATCACGCAGAATTGTTTTGCAATTATGCGGCTGGACTGCATCACGATCAGCGATTCCATCCTCGATCGCGCGCTCGCCTAGGCTGCTTGAGGGTCTTGAGATAAAGGAAGGATCTCTATGAAGGCTTGGGGATTTCATTTACTTGAATTTGCACCGGTGCTACTGCTGGTGTTGCTGATGAAGGACACACAAGTGAGGGCTTATATTCCCAAGGGTTCAAGTTTATGCAACGTACGGGGCTAGAGTCGATATATTATATATATATATGCATATATATGAATATATTGAGTTCAGGGGCTAGGTTTGGGAGAGATCGGGTACTACAGGGCTCAAGTGAATTTATGTAGCCGAGCATCTGATTCAAGCGACGTTTTGACGCCACAATCTTCAGCATACCCATGCGCAGAACCCAGCGATTGAAAGCGCCAGGTTTGCGAGGAGCACGCAGACTGACCCCTGAGATATCTGATGCTCAGGATTACTAATAAAATCACTCCTTTCCAGAAACACCAGAAAAGGGCTGCTAGGGTTTCGGGCTTAGGGTATTAGGGTTCAGGGTTTAGGGCTTATAAGGGTTTAAGGCTTTAGGGCTAATTAGGGTTTAGGGCTTATATTAGGGCTTATTAGGGTTATAATGGCTTCAAACTGAAAAGCACCCCTCGACTTCAACTCATAATGGAAGCTCAGGTACTCTTAAGCCATCCCATAGCATCCTCACCAGTGAAGCAGTGACTGTAGCGCGCATTGCAGCCTGAGGGTCCAACATGCCAATACATGTGTTTAATTAGCATGGATCTCCGGCTTTAATATATATATATATATAACATCGTGGAAGTTCGAAGCAAGAATCGCCATCTCCGGCTTTGGTCCAGGATGTGAAGCATGGCCTCACCAGTTGCCCAACTGCACATTCTAGAGCACAGCTCACAGCCACTTGAAGTCAAGTTGCATGGAATTTTGGTTTCAGAACCCAGGCCAGGATCTTGAGCCTCAGGGAACGTTTGGAGGGCCAGTTGTTTGGGTATACCCTTAATCCTACAATGAAATCACCCAAAA